GACAGAGTTTTAAAGTTGAAACTTCAAGCTTTAAAATGCTTTTTTAATTTTGTATCTACGATTATTTTTCGCCGAGTTTCAGTGGTTTAAAAATAGCCCAATTTTTAGGGTATGAAAAGTGTTCCCTATTTTTTTTTAGTAGTGTATATATACATATAATATATATACATATGTGATAAAATTTCGCTTCATTAAAAAGGCGACCCACTTGACGCTACGAATAATTTGAAACATTTGATTGACCAATAAGAACAAAGAATTTTACGAATTAGCCAATCAAAGAATGCTTCAAAACGTGTAGCGTCAATAAAGTGGATCGCATCCATAACCAAGAACAAGTGTAGAGAAATTTAAATAATGTAATGCCTAGAAATATCTATCTTATATTTGTTATGAGTGATGCAAGTATACTTACTACAGGATAAAAATTATCATCAGACATCAAGAAAGTTTGAATTTCTAAAAATGCGTCTTCATTATTTAAGGGCAGCGTGGGAAGATTTTTTGGCTGAACGACATTTTCCTCTTCTGGAGCTAATTTACGATATATTCTGTTAAGCATCAAAATAACATTGTCTATTTTTCCATTTTGTTCTTCTTGCCTCTCTGCTAAAGTTTTGAGAACAGCAGCAACGTAGGGATCTACAAGTAAATTATAACATTTATAATTATGTCAAAGTCAAGCAAAAACCAAGAAGATGAAAAAGAGTATAAGTAAGATACATTTGAATATATTAAATTATTAATTAGTGGAAGGAAATAAAATTTATTTCATAAACATAAGAAACAATCACGAGACACGGTAGTGTCTCGCGCCAAGTATAAGCGAATAAGTATAAGCGACAAGCCTAACCACGCGCGCGACATATAATTTACCTGAGTACGTACCAACATTTTTTATTAAAGTTGGCAAGGAAGCTGAAATATAAATCAACAACAAAATATCGATATAAACAGACATACGATAATGAAAATAATATAAAATCAATAGAAAATGTTATAAAAATAAAACAATCTTACATTTATGTGACTGAAGTGTCACGTCGGTCTTAGGAGATAAAATAGCATCTGTAAGTGTATTATTAAAAGAAACCGTTGTTACAGGAGATAACGTTTCACTTAGGGGTGACATATTTCCAAGAGGTAATGAGGCATTCAATAAAGATGGATCTGTATATGCTATAACAATAAATAATAAGAAACATAATTGATGAAACAAGATGAGATACAAGTTATAAGTTAGATAATCATACTATTTTCGATCCTCAAATATGTTAACTAAAAAAATAAACAATACAATACAAAGATATTAATAATTAGAAAATTTTTAAGACCTAAAAACTATATAA